TGAGTTTTATTATTTAACTATAGGACTATTGGAGTGGATCTCTTAAATTTTGAGAGCTGAATATTTTTAAAAGGGGGCTAAGAGTAGCAGAAAAGGTTCTTATTTAAATCTTTTAAAATGTCATAAAATTGAAATAAGTGATATAAGCTTACAAAGTAGAGATGACTGCATTTTATCTTATTTGCATGTCTCCCCTCCCCCCAGAATGCTAAAAATTCAGATAAACAATAGAACTATTAAGGGGATTTGGTGAGATAACTGTATTCAAGGAGAAAATCTGTAAGGTAAGGCAACAATTTTTCTTTCTATCAGCAATAATCATTTGGTAACACACACACACACGAGATGTTTATTGAAACTTGATTACCAATTGGGAAAAGTAGGATATAACTTGACAGGGGAATGGTTGAATAAAAAAGGTTAATAGTCCTATAAAAGAATGAATTATATTGATATCTATCAATGTAGAAAGATACCCATGATATATGTTTGAGTGAGATATATCATATCTATATATATAAAAGCCTAAGCAACCAGTCAACCGGTCGCTATGATGCACACTGACCACCAGGGGGCAGACACTCAATGCAAGAGCTGTCCCCTGGTGGTCAGTATACTCCCATAGCCAACCTCCCCTGGTCTCTCCCCTCAGCCACTGGCCCCCATGGGGACTGGGCAAGATGGCCCTGATCAGCTCCGATTGCTGGCCAGGCTGAGGGACCCCACCCATGCACGAATTCATGTACCAGGCCTCTAGTAGAGACATAAAGAGGCTGAAAAGACTATAGAAACGACTGATAAAGCTGAGAACTGGTTTGTTTGTTTTTTTAACCCTTTGAGTGCCAACCAATATCCTAGGAACTATGCTAAAATTGCCAAGGCATTTTTGCTGATTTTACAGCAGTTTAGGAAAAAAATTATGAATCGCAAGTAAATGAAGTTACATATTCAAAAACTTAAGGAAACCTTTACCACATTGACATATTTAGCAATATCATCATCTCTAATAAAAGCAGACTTAGAACTGGACACCATTTCGAAGCTTTGATAGCGGTCCCGGCACTCTAGGGGTTAAGGTAAACAAAATTGTCAAACCTTTAGCTAGACTCACTAGAGGGGCAGGGTGGGGGGAAAATAAAATCAGACATTACAGCTGACACCGCAGATACAAAGGATCATAAGACACTACCACAGTGAGCCCTGCCTGGTGTGGCTCAGTTGATTGGAGCATATCCTATACACCGAAAGGTCACAGGTTTGGTTCCCACTCAGGGCACATACCCAGGTTGCAGGTTTGATTCCAGGTCAGGGTGCCTATAGGAGGCAACCAATGAGCTTTCTCTCCCTAAAATCAATAAAAACATATCCTCAAGTGAGGAATTTTAAAAATCACACAAAGAGATATCACCTCACACCTGTTATAATGAAAGACAAGAATTATGTGATGGCAAAGATATGAAGTAAAGGGAACCCTGTGTACTGTTGGTGGGAATGTAAATTGGTGCAGCCGTTGTGGAAAAATATATGGAGGCTTCTCAAAAAATTTAAAATAGAACTACCATAGGATCCAGCAATTTCACTTCTGGGTATTTATTTATCTAAAGAAAACAAAACCACTAACTCCAAAAGATAGATGCACCCCCGTGTTCCTTGAAGCATTACTGACAATAGCCAAGCTATGGAAACAATGTGTCTATCAATGGATGAGCAGATATAAAGAAAATGTGATTTATGTATGTAATGAAATTTGGCCATAGAAAAGAATAAAATTCTGAAATTTGCAAGAACATGGGTGGACCTTGAGGGCATTATGCTGGTGAAATAATTCAGACAGACAGATACCATATGATCTCACTTATCCTATATAATAAAAGCCTAATATGCAAATTGACCAGTCGCTATGATGTGCAATGACCACCAGGGGGCAAATGCTCAATGCAGGAGCTTCCCCCCGGTGGTCAGTACGCTCCCACAGGGGGAGTGCCGCTCAGCCAGAAGCTGGGCTCATGGCTGGCAAGTGCAGCGGCAGTGGCAGGAGCCTCTCCCGCCTCCACCGCAGGAGGGCAGTAAGGAGCAAGGGGTCCCAGACTTTGAGAGCCCTGGACTGTGAGAGGGCACAGGCCAGGCTGAGGGATCCCCCCCTCTCCCCCAAAGTGCACGAATTTCATGCACCGGGCCTCTAGTATGTCAAATAAAAGAAAAACAACAAAGAACAGATTGGTGATTGCCAGAGACAGGGACATGAGGGCAAAGGGGGTAAAAAAAAAAAAAGCAAACACACAAGCAAACAAAAAAGAGTTATACCTGCCCTAACCGGTTTTGTTCAGTGGATAGAGCGCCGGCCTGCGGACTGAAGGGTCCCAGGCTCGATTCTGGTCAAGGGCATGTACCTTGGTTGCGGACACATCCCCAGTAGGAGGTGTGCAGGAGGCAGCTGATTGATGTTTCTCTCTCATCGATGTTTCTAACTCTCTATTCCTCTCCCCTCCTCTCTGTAAAAAAATCAATAAAATATATATTTTTAAAAAAGAGTTATACCTATATATATTGACATAGAAAAATACTCATGTCCTTGAGTGACAAAACCTGTAGTAGAAAAATGTATACACTGTAATCTCACTTCATTAATGAGAGAGAACTCTGAGTTCTCTGTGTATTATGAACATGAAGCGATATACCTAGAACTGTTAATTAGGGCTACCTCAAGTTAGCCTCTCCTCAAGTCCACATAATGCCAACGCTAAAATAAAATATCCAACCATAAAATTAAAGGCAAAAAGGAAAACCCGAAGCATAATTACTAAAGCGGAAAAAAGGACCGCGGAGTTGCATTTTCTAAAAAATTAGGAATGCAAAAGAAAGAAAGCTTTAAAAGTTCCTCTGAATAAACAATGCCAGATGCTTAAAGAAAAAAAATCTTTAGGAAAAATGCATTATAATTTTAGTGTCAGACTACTTAAAAATATTGGTGGAACCAGAGAAACAATGACTGTCCTAGTGTGTACTGTGTAAAATCCAAGTTTTTAGAAATGAAAACAGAATGGACCAATAGTGCAAAAAGAAAGAAGAAAAAGAAAGAGGGAGGGAAAGGGAAGGGGAAGGGGAAGGGGAGGAGGGAGGAAGAAAGAAGGAGGGAGGAAGGAAGGAAGAAAGAAAAGTGATTGACGTAGGAAACAGACTCAGAGACCTAAGCTATTCACTCCAAGAAGGCCAAAGCCGGCAGGCTATAAATATGGAAATCATAGGCAATGGTATAACACAATAAGGCTAGCTTACAGTGGCTCTCATGCTGCCACTCCTCCCCTCCGGCCTCCCAGCCCACTCCCAGGACAGTGTCGCCTTTCTATCCCAGCAGTTTCCCTCTGAGCCAAGATAAGGTTCACAGGTTTCCTTAACCTAGCACTTAGGGCAGCCTCTACCAAACTCGCCCCACTGCAGCGGCAATGGAAGATGAAAACAACCTGTCGTTTCTTCAGTAGGAGAGGATCCAAGATAGGAATTGACAGCCTAAAAATGGAAAAGGCTCATGGGGCCTTTTCCAGGTGTAACATTCAAGAGGAAGACATTTACATGCAGACTTGCCAAATCCCTGAACTTTAGAAATACAGAATGATGGCTTCGGGCAACTACAGAGGAAGTTAATATTTCAGGCCATCAGAGATAAGAATAGCTGGAGAGCATCCTATTAAAGCACTGAAAAGAATTAAATGCACTGGACCTGCAGGAATTCTCCAGGGCAACCTCATCATTACCCAAGGGGCATTTGACTGGGATCAGCTAGAGCTGCTTGAAAATAAAATAAGTTAGCAATAGGGGAATCATTGATGTATGGTAAAGTTTAATTACTTTGTATGACAGCCTCTAAAAATGAGGGGAAAAGATACTTTAAAGACATTTCAGAGTGTCAGTTCTATTAATCCTGAACGAGGTGTGGATCTAATAGCAGACAATGTATTTCTTGTTAGAGAGTCTAAAATTCTTTCTAATAGACAAGCATAAGAATTTAGACAAATAAAGGCAAAGCACAATCTAATTATTTTAAGTATTAAGCGGTTACATCATTGCATACAATAACCATTGATTTTAAAACATACCATTATATAAGTACCACCCAAAAAGAGAAAAAAGAAAAACCCTACGCAAAGCTTCGTTACTACTTAGAATTTTTATTTTCTGTTTTGAAACTGCTCTTGTCGGCTTATTGAGACATGGGAGTGGCCACACTAGCAGAGCTACGACCAAACGCACACACGTAGAAGCGTGAAAACTCACATCTTCTACCTGCCTGACTGTACTTGTAGAGTGCCATCAATTTTAAGACACAACCTGGTTTCAGGGTTGTTAAAATCTTAATAAAATAAAAATAAAAAGTGGGCCTTAGAATTGATGAACTAGGGCATGCCAAATAAGTAACTTTCCAGGAGGGTTTTAAAGGAAAGAAGGTACTTAAAACAGATAACTATGACTCAGCATGACACATATTATACTACGGGGATGTACAAAACGTCCTGAATAAGGACTTGCCCAGGGGAAGCACAGAAGGCTTTCCAGGTAGAGAAGGCAGAATGGAAAAGAGGAGGGAGAACCCCCAGAATGATAGGGAAAAAGAGTTCAAATATGACGGACTGGGTTAAAGGCCCCACTTCTAAGGTCCTGGACTTTTATAATTTGGGGATTCAAGGTTTTCACCTACTGGCCCTACCAGAGCCACTGTCAGACGAGGAGGGGAGAGCAGTGTCCCTCATCTACAGGCATACCTCAGGGATCCTGTGGGTTTGGTTCCAGATCCCTGCAATAAAATGAGTCATCTTTTTGCTGGGGCTGGCCTTCAATTTGTAAAAAAAACACAACGTCTCTGAAGAGCAATAAAGCAAAGTGCAATAAAACGAGGTATGCATGTGTATGTTGAGTGAGGGAGTGAATGTGTGAGGGCATGCATATGAGTTGGGGTTGTCTGTGGCCAAAGATCACAGCTGTCCTCTTTTCCTGTGTCGCCCCAGAGAAACTGGAGAGTGAGAAGCTGAACGTGGCCGAGGTCACCCAGTCAGAGATTGCGCAGAAGCAAAAGCTGCAGACTGTCCTGGAGAAGATCAACGAAACCCTGAAACTTCCTCCCAGAAGCATCAAGTGGAATGTGGACTGTGAGTGTTACCAAGAGAAAGGGCTCTGGTGAATGATGCCTGTGGTCTGTACCAGGAGGTTTCCCCAAGAAGCCAGCCAGGAAGCTGGCCGGCCCTGTGTAGGTGCAGGCCCATTCATCTTACTAAGGAGGAACACATCTCCCACACAGAGGACTCTCTGGGACAAGTGATGTTAAAATCCAGGGTGCCTTTTCTGTAGGCGCTTGTGTAAGATGGGGAGAGGAAGGACACTTGTGTTCATTGAGCTACTTCCGTGTCCCAGAGAACGCTCTTCTAGGGGCTTCAGGAAGCAGAGATCCCTAAGTGCAGGCAGCTGAGAAGCTGGGGTGGGGGTGGGTAAGGGCATGGCTCTAGAACAGCCTTGGGCAAACTACGGCCCATGGGCCTGATCCGGCCCATTTGAAATGAATAAAACTAAAAAAAAAAAAAAAAAAAAAAAAAAGACCGTACCCTTTTATGTAATGATATTTACTTTGAATTTATATTAGTTCACACAAACACTCCATCCATGCTTTTGTTCCGGCCCTCCGGTCCAGTTTAAGAACCCATTGTGGCCCTCGAGTCAAAAAGTTTGCCCACCCCTGCTCTAGAACAATACCCACAGCCTTCCTCTCCATCACTCATTTTCCAGAAGAGAAGATATGGCTGACATTGTAGGTACTGGAACAGGATTTTTCAGTTCAGGTTTCACGGCTAGATAGGTCAAGGATCTCGGAGAGTATGAACCATTCATTCTTTTGCTGCCTCAAGGGCCTAGATGTCTAATATGGACTTAATGAGTCTTTATCAGAACCAACATTCAATCAGCAAATCGGTGACTCCAGAGTGACGTTATTTCCTGTGGGGAGTCCAGAGTTGTTTAGTTGCTTGCAGTAGATAAAAAGTGTGCATTTAGATTGATAACATGATTTAGATTGATAACATGATTTAGATTGTGTTCTTTGCCTTTGTTTTAAGTATTAAAGGGTTCAATACTATATCTTAGTGAACCCAATTATAAAACCTAAAATGGACACATCCTCACCCCCCCCGACCCCCATAAAAACACAGTTCAAACTTAGCAAAGAAAAAGGAATCTTCACCTCTCAGCGTAGAGACCCAGTAACTGCCAGTGAGAATCTCTTCAGCATGTTTCTAACATCTGACATTGGAGGCGAGACACCAAGTACCTCCTTCAGCATAATTACACCTTTGCTCGCACAGTGTGAAAAGCCGCCTCGCACAGCACAGGGAACAGGGCATCCTCTGCCAGGGAGACATGGGAGGGAGGGGGGACGGGGGAGGCCGTGGCTCTGGGCCCTAGATGCTGTCTGCGCTGTGTCCCGGGCATGCTAATAGTGTTCAGGGGGGAAGGAAGGGAGGAAAAAGGAAGCTTGATCACTGGTTTGAGAAATGTACCTGCATTTTGGGAATCCACAACAGTCATAAGCATTGAAGCATAAAGTAATAAGCATCAAAGTCCTCTCATCAAGACCCCTGCTTAGTTTTTTGGGGTTTTTTTAATCCTATTTCCCACTCCTTTGAATACGGACCATCTCCACGTACCCTTCCAAACAAAACCCTTTCTCACTTACGAGGGAACCCACCTGGGGAAAGGCTCGGATAGAAGAAGGGGATCTTTAAAAGCCACCCGAGGACCACCATCATGTTCACTGTCATTTCTCATAGGGAAATGTGCATGAGTAAAGTAATCGCTCACACTACCACTCCCGTCTGGCTATTTTCATCTTCACCCCCTACTCTCCACATCAACGCATATTTTTACTTGATGAAGTCAGGTGCATCAGGTGTTTTGTTGTTTTCACTTAGTAGTAAGTCATACATATTTTCTGTATTCCCATGTGGTCTTCAGAGTTCTCGTTTCTGATAGCCGCTCTGTTTCACGGGGTAGATCCCCTAGGTAACCTGAACCCTTTGGCGTTGATCCTTTCAGGACGTTTGGCAGCCTATTGCTGAATGTCTCAGGTTGTGTCTCTTTTTGCTTTTCTTGAATTAGTCCCGTCATAGATTCCCAGAAGGGAGATAAATGACGAGGTGGGAGGGAATAATTATTTCCATGGCTAGCTCCCTAGGATGCCTCGGGGCTTCAAGAACTGCTGGGCCTGTTTACAAGCAGCCCTGGTTTCTTCCCATGAGGAATGTGGCAGGCACAGCCCTGGGGGAAGCTCCGTCCCTCCTGCTATCTTTCCTGGTACTTTGAGGACATTGTGTCATCTTTCCAGGCAGGATAAAGGGGTGAGGAGAAGCACCTGTGTGTGGGGGGCGGGAGGGGGGAGGGGCTGCAATTAGGACTCAGGGACCAGAGCAGCTGTCCTTTTTTCATCTGTTTTGTCTAACGGCTTTTAGAACAAAGGGTTTCTCTGCTTAAGAATAATAATAAAATTGCAAACCACTGGTCTAAACGAACCTTTTGCTAGTGGACAGAGTTTTCTAGATATATTACACAATAATGAACATCTTTGTACATGTAGTGTGTGTGAGAGAGAGAAACTGTATAATTATTTCTTTTGGGGAAAAAATTCCCCGGACAGAGTATTCATTGAAAGGGTCTGGCATCAGCATGGTGCTCATGACATTGCTGTCTGTGTTGCTCACCAGACAGTCACGATGACATACACTGTCACCAGTGTGCAAGAACAAGCTTTGGGCTACAGCTTTTCTAGCATTGTGTTTTGTGATTAAAAGGGAGAAAGGTAGCAAATGCCCTGCAACCCTGGGTGACTAGACTGAGGGTGTGGCAGTTCTGATCATGTGAGTGAGCACTCCACATCTGGAGCCTTCTATGAGGCTATTACAACGGGTGACACTATAGACAATGCTCAGAAGCTCAGAACTGAAAACTTCTGGAAGGCGGAGTTAGAAGCAGATCTTAGCTGTTTGCTGCTTGATGGTGGTGTTGAGCTGCTGTTCGCAGTCCATGGAAAGCCTTGTGATAATAAGAAGCTCTAATGAGTTCCCAAGGAATGTCTGAATCACTTCCTTTTCTTGGTGATTTCTCAAGGCTTCTGTAGAGCAGACTCATCAATTCTAGCCCAGACAGAAGAACACCCTAACGCTGGGCCCAGGTCATGCTAAGTATGCAAAATGGGCATTTTTCTGTTCTTGCCTTGCATGACCCCTGTAATGAAGAACCATGAGGCTGGTAGGACTGTGAAGACAGGTAAAGTATCTGGGGGATCTTCCCTTTCATGAGAAACAAAGGAGAGAAAGTGGTTTAATTGCCTAGATGCCAGGCACTTTCTCAGATTATAATAAAAAGTATCAACCATTCCTGGGCATCTGCTACGGGCTAGGAGCTTTGCTTACATCATCTCTGGAAGTGCTTTACAACCGATATTTCTGCACAGGCACAACTATCCCCATTTGTGAAGATGAGCAGATTGAGGCCCTGAGTCCTTGAGTGGCCTCCCAGAGGTCTTGTCGGCAGTAAATAAATGGTCGAGTTGTCAAGTCAGAACTCAAGCTCCAGTCTGCCCAACCGTGTGTGCACCCCATTACATCACCGTACTTTTCTCTTCAGATCTACTGAGAAAACTATAACCCAATAGTTGCCCATATTTCTCTAGTATAAATGGCTTAGCATCCAGCACATCGCTCTGTAGCTACAGAAGCCAGCTGGTCCTGAACACTTCCTCCCAGCTATTCCCCAAGGGGCACTGCCTACACTGACCATACCTGACACTCAAGAGAGCAACAAAGCCCTTTCGATATCTGTCATGCTTTCCTCCAGGGATCTAGAACCCTCATCAAAGGGGGAGGTGTCCAGCGTTCCTGACTCAGTGTCGATGTATTGAGAGCCTGCTTCGGGTAGAGCCTTGGGACAGGGTAGTGGTGATCATCCAAAGGGCTCACAGTCAAGTGGGAAGGGAAGGAGGGTGCAAAGCAGACACAGCCAGGGTTGTTAAAATAGAGTGAACAAAGACATGGAGGTGATGGAGAGCTGATCTGAACTCAGAATTCAGCCACTGTCAGGGTCTCTGTGGGAGCCTTGGATCAAAGCAGAGGGCACGGCCTTGGAAATCCAGCAATGGCATGATCTAAGAAGCTAGCTCCTTGGGACCTGGCCAAGAATGAGGCGGCCCAGGGTGAGGCCTGTGATGGCCAAGGGTGTCCCCTGATCCTCAGGGGTGGGATTACAGGGCCAGTGGATGTGATACATTTTGAATATCTGCTTGTATCTGCCTAGAACCTAGAAGAAGATTCTCTAATTTTTTACATCATCTTTTATTTCAGCTGTTCATGCCAAGAGCCTGGTAGCCATCCTGCACCTGCTGGTTGCTCTGTCCCAGTATTTCAGGGCCCCAATCCGACTGCCAGACCATGTTTCCATCCAAGTGGTTGTGGTCCAGGTAAGACAGATACCATGCGTGCCAAGGGTGGGAGAGTGTGTGCTTGTATATGGAATGCCTTTGGTGGGCAAGTACCTAGGATTTGCATGTTTTTGTCAGGAGGATGTCTGTGTAATGTATATTTGAGGGTGTATGGTGTGTATGTTTGTGAGGTGTGTCTAAAAGGATAAGGAGGAAAGAGGTGTGTGTGTGTGCATGTGTATGTGTGTGTGTGCATGCACACCCTGTAAGCCATAGAGAATCATCTTTTGGGTAAACAGTGCTGCACAGGTATGGGGAGGAGACAGACGTGAGGGCACGTGTGCATGTGTATGCATGTGTTTGAGAGACCTGACTTGCCAGGCCTGGATTGAGGACACTGCCCCTTTTCACCCGCCCCGAGCAGCACAGCTGGGCTCTCAAGTCATCTTTTCCAGATCGTTGGATGGAATTTCCATTCACATGGCTGTGTAATTTCCACAATGAGGGTGTGCACTCTCCCTGTGACTATCTCATTCTACCCCTAACCCCATTAGATACTCAAATTCAATTTTATTTTCCAACTTTATGCCATTTAGCAAAAGGTCATTTGGTTTGCTTGTTTCTGTTCTTTTCCAAATAAACATGCTGCAAGGGAAGACTCCCCTTATAAGCAGCTCCCAGAGTATCCAGGGATCTGGAATAGAGAATGATATGGCAGTTCTGCGTCCAGTGGTGAGGACGGGCCTGGAGAGCTGGTGAGCTTTGCAGTGCCAGGCCAGGCCAGTTTCCAGGACAAAAGGTCTTTGAGCTGAGCTTTCAGGGATCAATGTGAATGGAAGAGGACTTGGGCGTGCTCAGTTGTGCCCTAATGAAAAAGTATTTCTTTTACACCTTCTGGGTACTGAACTTGCTACACATCAAGGGGGTATAATAAGACTATGACACCTTGGCCCCGCCCAGAGATAAACAGCAGAGAGGGCTATCAGGGGCCCACAGCCAATGCGAATGTGTGTGGTGCAGACATTAAGTGCAGGTGACTGAAAGGGACTAATTGGCCTCATTTATTGAGCACTCAACTGTGTCAAGCATGGTGCCGAGCATTTTCTGTGTGCTGTGGATACGTGGCCAGCCCAGAGCTTCCTGATCCAAGCATCTTCCTAGTGAATCCAGGCCATCTCTCTATTATGTTATTTTTACCCATCAATAATGTGTGAATCCGTTTCATTATATTTTTTTAAAACTATGATTCAAGATCTGAGCAGGAGAAGGGGGGCTCCTATTTTGAAACAGTGGTCACTGCAAGCCCATGCTTCATGCCTTATTTTGAGCTCAATTATGGGCCATCTGAAGGCTGTTGTTGGTTTAATTTGTCCTGTAGGCAGCCTTGTTAGCATGAGGGAGAAAAGAGGACACGTTACATAAAATGGCATCAACGCACGTCAGGTTTTATGGGGTGTTTTGCTTTATCAAGCTAAACAGGCACAGAAGCAGGACTCGGAATTGGCTGTGAGTCACTGAACGACAGAGAGCTCTTTGGGGAACAGACAGTGGATAGAGGTGAATCAGGACACGGTGTGAGGGGTCATTTAACCCAGATTTCTTTTCCATTGTGTACAAAGGCATTTAATTATGTGTGATGTGTGGCTGAGGTTTATATCTGTAAATGGCCTCACAAGACAAGGACACAGATTCCATCGGCTCCCCGTGAAAATGTTACCTATGTTAAAGGTGTATTTGGGAAAGTTCTGATTTATCCTCATCGGGTCTCCTTTCAGTGATGTTTACTTCCTCTTTTGCTGTGCTAGTCCATTCCTCTTCATCTCTTTCAGATATACTCTTTACCCAGCTTTAGCTTTCCTTCTGTCAGAGTCTTTTGCAAGGACCCTAGATTCTGTGGCTATTGAGAATGTGAAGAGAAGGTTCTGGAAGTTTTGGCAGGAGCATCAAGAAGGCAGGTTTCAATAGACACGAGTGCCAGAAGGTCCTTGTGGACACTCACCTCAGCCTTTGAGGAAGATGAATTTGCTGTGACAACTGATTTCCATGCCCAGACCACCCTCCAAGGGCCTCTGACTATGCAGGAACCTGATGCAGTGAATCTCCCTGCTCATGCCCACCTGAAGGTCCTCCTGCAACTGAACACTGCTTCATTAGCTCCCGTGCCCACCCAGCGAGGATTAAATTCTAAACCAGCACTCACTTGGCTCCCCATTGACTCATGGCACCCTCCCTGCAAACCTCCCCTCAATGCATTGTGCTCTGACTCTGCCTGCTTGCTTAGGCCAGTGGTCGGCAAACTGCGGCTCACGAGCTACATGTGGCTCTTTGGCCTCTTGAGTGTGGCTCTTCCACAAAATACCATGTGCGGGCGCGCCTGTACAGTGCGATTGAAACTTCGTGGCCCATGCGCAGAAGTCAGTATTTTGTGGAAGAGCCACACTCAAGGGGCCAAAGAGCCGCATATGGCTTGAGAGCCGCAGTTTGCCGACCACTGGTTTAGGCCATTCCTCCTGGGGGAATGACCTCTCCTCTGTGCCCTTTGAGTGCCAGGTCAAGAACCCCTCCCCTTGGACGGTTTCCCTGACCATCCCCCGCTGAACGTGTCTGCCTTTGTCCTGCATTCAGCACTTTCTCTCTGCATAGGGTGACCATGTGATTTATTACCCAAGACACTTTTGAGAGCAAAAGGGATCCTACTAATAACTGACCTGGGTCATCAGGCAAAAACCCTGTTTGGGGAAAACCATTCTTACATAGCTGCTTCATCTATGACATTTCACTCTCTAAGTTCCTCAAGTATTTGCTCCAAGTCCAACGCAAGGACTTGTCCATAGAAGGTACAAATTAGGGGATTGTACTTAGAAGGCACTGATCAATGAACCAAAGAAGAGAGGATGAAGTGATGGGAGTGGGTGGAATAGATGTCAGATAGATGGGTAGGTAGGTAGGTGGGTGGATGGATGGATAAGTGGATGGATGGATGGATGGATGGATGGATGGGCTGGGTGGGCCTCTAAATTACTTAACCTCTGCTCAGAGAGTAAGCTAATTACCTGAGGACTGTACTGATTATTTGAAAGCTCCTGTATTTATCCATTAAAAAGAAGGAAAAACAAACAAACTCTCCCTCTATTTGAATTCTCCAAGCTGGCCTGGGTTCCTCCACCCCAGCCCCCCAGCTGAATGTGTTTCTCAGCTTTCCTCTGTGGCCCCAGCTGGAGGGCAGACACACCCTGGCCTTCATTTCCATTTGGTTTACTGTGGATTACTCCAGGAGGCAAACAGTTTGCTTCCAACAGAATGTCTTCCAATAAAGAAAGAAAAGATTCACCATCCAAGAAACAGCCTACTTGTTTGGACTAAACATGAGCTGCACTGAAGTACGAATGGTACGGTCCAGGCCCGGGAAGCCAGGGGCCTTGTTTCACTTCTGGAAGCCTCTCAACTCCAGACTCACTTTCTTAAACACCAGTAACGTTCTCAGTATCAGGAATGCTAATCAGTATTTTGTATTTTTCTAAAGCATATTTTTCTCTCCTCCTCCCAACCCTTCTCCCCACCCCCGTTTCAGAAACGAGAAGGAATCCTCCAGTCTCGGCAAATCCAAGAGGAAATAACTGGTAACACAGAGTATGTCAACACCATTGTTGCCAGCGATTCTGTAATGGAACACAGATGTTTCTCCGAAATTCGTCCATTTGCTGATATTTAGTTTTCATTTATTGGGATTGCAAGAGGGATTATACTTCAGCCAATGATTATAGCTTAGCCTTTTCCATGCATTCAAAACATGCCTCTCAATGCTTAAGGTACAAACTTGGGTGGGGAAGTGGGGAGAGAGAATTAGCAGTGATTGAAAAATTCTAATTTTGTGGCACTCCGGGAAAAAAGTGTGCCCCAAAAGCCAACCAGCATGAAATCGTCATGCCATAAACATGGACTTGAATTTAAATTGTTAGCCTTCAAAAGGACGTTTTTCCTTCCTTTTCTGAATCTGATTGATTTGGTCACATGCCATGACCCAGAAAGCCCCTCTCTACCTTAGAGGGGTGTTTTTGTTGTTTTCACTTACTTTAAGAAATTGGAATATCAAAGCATGTAAGAGGTTTGCTGTGGGGAAGACACGTTTGGTCTTAAACAGAAAGAGCAGGACCGTGTGTGGGTTTGAGATCCCTGGGCAGGACTGGCCCTGGCCACAGGCGAGGCCGGGCAGAGTTCGCTCTATGCATCCCCTGGCTCCATCTCTCCTCTATCCTCCCTTGAACAAGAAGAACGAAGTGAAAAGAGCCGAGACCTCTAATCCAGCCTCACTCGAGTTCAAATCCAGACTCTGCCACTTTACTCACCTTTTAGTCTCTTAGCCTCTCTGACCTCAGTGTCTTCATCTCTGAAGTGGGGAGCATTTTGCTAACCACAGAGTGTGAGGGTGTGACGTGGGAAGAGCTCGGCCTTCCCTTTCCCATGTCCTTCAGTGCTGACTTTTCTGGCTTTTCCCCATCACAGCTGACCCACGCCAGCCAAGCCTTGCCCAATCTCTAGGAAACTCACTTCCCCTCCCCCATTGTGGCTGACGGAGGTCCAGCGTGCTGTGGACCACACTATGCATGTGCCTTAAAAGGGCCCAGGTTAGGGCGAGATGTGGGGAGGCCCTTCCCCAGATGCCCAGTTGGTGGCCTGCCTCCGCACCACTCCAGGGTCCAGTCCTGGCAGCCGAGGGGGCAGCTGATGCACAAGGCACACTGATGCTTGGCCTTGATTCTGTGAGGGGCGGGCTGAAAGCTGCCCTGACAGGCCTGCCGGGAGGAGAATTCCTCACCGTTCCACCCCCACCTCCCCTCACCTCTGCTTGTGCGTGGAAAAGAGGAAAATGTGTCTGAGAAGATCCTGTGAGAAGCTCCCAAATCAGGGAACATGAAGCTTCAGTTTTCAGAGCAATCTCTCAGCTGCCCCTGTGCTTTCTGTGGCTCCTTTCTGCCATCTTGCCACATAGACAAACAAGGATGCAAACTCCTAATCATTTGACAATACACTCCAGTCTCTGAAGCATTTTTGTATCTGTCGATGTTCATAATACACACGTGAAGCAATGATTACACCTCCTAAAACCCCACAGCCCAAAGGTGGAGACGGAGATTATCACTGGTCTGTCCAGCGGTTAACTCCAAGTTCACTGTTCTTTCCAGTGCATTACCCGAAAGTCATCATGTAATGGGTGATAGAAGCGCAGTTGGAATAAACTAAAGAGACCCACTAATGTATTAAGAAAAAAATATATTGAGCATTTACCTATATACCAGGAATTGTGCTAAAATATTTCCACTTATTAAATTATGTAATGCTCACAACATGCTCTCCTCATTTTAGAGATAAGAGACCTGGTGCCCAGAGAGGTTCGGTAGCTTGCTCAAGGTCACATAGCACACAGATGGCTCTGTTGGATTTAAACCTAAGTAGTCCGTCTTTAATGCTTGTGTTCTTGGTTCTCTGCTGCTTCACTGCTAAAAGTCCAGTTCCAGTTCCTGCCCTCTTTGAGAAAAACCTATCCTGGAGCAAGGCGAGGTGCAGCTTGATGGGTATCACAGGATGGATAGGGGAGAGAAGAACTTGACCTCCCCAGGCTAATGCCCACAGCACCCTGGGCAGTGAACTTACTAAGTGTAGAATGCCAAGAGAGCTTTGGGGCTTTTCAATCAAGGGCGAAGAGAGAAGATTCACACTGTTTTCTTTCTCCTTTTCCTACAGGGCTCTCTCTGGAAGGCATGGTGAGTTGCGTAAGATTGTCCATTGGTGCTGGTGGCTTCCATGGGGGTCTAGTTAATTCTGCAGCAGCTGGGAACCATAGGCACTCAGCTTGCTTCCTGCATGTGTCTGCGCCAGCCTGGTGACAGAGCTGCATGGTAGGGAGGGTCTGCTTACTGGTGGGAAGAGGAAAACTAACCACAGCTGCGTAGTCCTTTTGCAAGTAACCAGACCACTGACATTGCTGGATCTCTGGATGGGTCCTGTGCAGTCTTGCTCGAAGCGTATGGTGAGAGTAAAGAAAGGAGGTGTATCTACATGCTCGGACTGTCTCCTCTCTGCCCAGCCCTTCTGGAAGCTGCTTCTTTCTCTTTCCTTTTCATAGCTCCTGTCTGTCCCATCTCCCACAACTTTGGGCTTGTTCACAAAATCTGTGAATGTCAGAGGTCACAGTCACCTTCCTGGAAGTCTCGGATTTGCCCATCGGTGCAAGAGTAGGGAGATACAGACCCGGGACCACCAACCTTTCCTGCCCCAGGTTTCCCTCCATTATTTCACTTCCCAGTTCAGAGAATGTGGGGAGGTGGGCAGCTAGGAGAGACCTGCAGGGGGCGTGGCTTTGCTACTTCCTATGATCCTGTATTTGCTGTGCCTATTTTGAACGATTCCAGTAATGCCAAAACAACTCAGATCAGTAGACATGTCAGAGTCTACTGAGCACATGCACATACTTTCCCGTCTTTCATCTCATAACACACCCGGGAGGTCCATTTCTCAGACGGCATTTTAGAAGAGGAAACTGAGGCACAAAGCGCCGAAGTGACTAGGTCACTCAAGAGGAGGAGCTCGCATCCTGTCCGGGCTCCGGTTCCCAACCTGCGTATTGATGCACGCTGCTGCCAGGATGGTTGTCCGGGTGTCCTGGTTTTGATCACTAGGGGGTGAAGTGATTTGATATTTGGATATCATCCTACCTCCAAAAAGCTTCCGAAACACTTTGGAGCCATGACTAAATCATAATGTAATGAACACGAAGACTGAAGAGAAATGACAAGTCCCCAGTTATAAAGTGCCTAACAGAGCCCCTCAGTCCCGGCCCAAAAGAGGTTTGACACAGAGGGTGGACACACACACACACACACACACAGCTCCCTAGGCGAGCATAACCCAAATCTCTGCCCTAAACCCAGCTTCTAGAGTTCCCCGCGCAGCCTCAGACCCTGGAAAGTTTCCATCTGTACCTGACCATGTGGCCAGGACCTGGGGTGGGCTTCCCACCAGGAATCAGCTGTGTCCTTCATCGACATTTCCCTCTTTTTCAGAACGTGATGCCTTCGACACCTTGTTCGACCATGCACCCGATAAGCTCAACGTGGTGAAAAAGGTGGGAAAGAGGTACCTGGGAGGGAAGCAGGAAAGATGGGGGAGGAGGGTAACAAAGCACTTTAGGAAACATCATCCCTATAGCTCGCAAGCTTCCTAAGACTGGTTTTATCACCAAATCTCTGCAAACATGGGCTTTCCAGCTTGATGTCCATTTTTCCTGTCTTGTTCTCACTGGAGAACTCATCCAGTCCCTTTCTTCTCCCATCAGGATGATAGCGTATCTCGGGGTTCTGGGACTACTATGAGCACCCTTTGTTCCCACCCTTACTCAACCTCCAGCCGTCCCTGCCTCCACACAGGCACAGGCACCTACACCTAGAAAGGGACTGCAAGGAGGGACCCAGTGGGGTCATTTCTTCTCTGGCCCCCTGACCCTGGGGTCAGACCCTCCACCTCTCACTCTCAGGACTCCTAGCTCCTCTCACAGTTTGAGTCACATAGTGTCCAAATCTTTGAAAGCCTCCTTTCCTATGAACTCCAGGGGCTTTGCAGAAAAGCCTCCTAGGCTGCTCACTCATCCTCACTCAGCTCAGCACAGGGATCCCAGGCCCAGTACTCTCAGCAGGGCCTCATCACATGTGGTCACCCTGGTCCTTGTCCTCACGGTGGAGTCACTGAGGTGGCCCCGAGGGCCTGGCACTGGTGAGAGCCTCCATCTCAAAGCCGCCTGTGCTTCTTTTTTTAGACTCTCATCACTTTTGTGAACAAGCACCTGAATAAACTGAACCTGGAGGTCACAGAACTGGAAACCCAGGTGGGTGACAGCCCCGAGGGAAGCGTGGGGGCCAGGCCCTGCTCAACAACTACCATTCCAAGTGCCCCATCCCTGCACGGCCAGGAGGGCTTTCCACACTGACCCTCAAGCTTTCCCAGGAGGGAGTGGATTCTATTCCTGTTTGGACTTTATCTGAATTTACTTTGAAAAATTGCAAGAATATTATCATGAATATCTAAACACTCTTCACCTACATACACCAATTATTAATATTTGACCACATTTGGGGTTTCTTTTTTCTCTCTCTCCACCTAAGCACTTCAGCATACTTCTCTTAATAACAAGTACATTCTCTTAGATAACCACATCCACTGATCAAATTCTGGTAATTTTAACATTGGTAGAATACATCGTTTAGGTTAAACCATATGCAATTGCTGATATTTGACTACTTTTGACAATGTCACATGATTCAAAGAAACACTCTATATTCCAATTTTTCCAGTTCCCTAATATTCTCACATGCAGTATTTAGTTGTCATTTTTCTTTAGTGTCTTGTTATAGAACAGATCCTCAGCCTTTCTTTACATGATGTCATTTTTGAAGAGTGCAGGCTATTTGGTTCATAGAATGTCTCTAAATGTCCCTCCTTACAATTAGATTCAGGTTATGCATTTTCAGTAACAATACCACCTGAGTAATGGTGTCTTCTCAGACACTTTTGTCCAGCAGTCCGTGACTGGTGACAGTAACTTTGATCACAGGGGTAAGCTGGTGTCCACCAGACCTCCCTACTGCTAAGGTCCTCTCCCTCCTTTATAAGTAATAACTAATCTTTAGTGGGAGATACTTTAAGGCTGTGTAATGTATTCTGTTTCCCGACCTCCTTTCATTTGTGATGAATTTCTAAAATGAGGTTTTCTTTTGAGCACATGGACATCTCTTGTTGTTTTTAAAAGCAATTCCTGGCCCAGCCAGTGTGGCTCAGTGGTTGAGCATCAACCTATGAACCAGGGGGGTCAGGGCACATGCCTGGGTTGCGGGCTTGAGCATGTAGGAGACAGCCAATCAATGATTCTCTCTCATCATTGATGTTTCTGTCTCTCCCCTTCTCCCTTCCTCTCTGAAATCAATAAAAATATTTTTTTAAAATAACTACATAATAAATAAAAGCAATTCCAGGTCTGTGCCTGAGTACTGTCTGAGTGTGTCTGGACTCTGTGGAACGAGTTTACATGCTCTTTGGGGAGTTAGGGAACACTCTGGAAAAGTGGTATTTCCTCAAATGAGCTAGAGTGAGCTCTGGGACTTTCCCTAAGTTTGCATGAACAGGTTGTGCTATGAAAGGGAGTCTCTGGTGAGTGTGTTTGGTGTTTGTCTGCGGGTTTTACCACCAAGTCATCAGAAAGAGCAGTCAGGGTGGGAGCTGTCTATGTCAGTGGCGCTCAGAGCTGTGAGTAACCCCGACCCTAACCCAAGGTCCTCCTCTGAGTTGATAGATTGGAATTTTTTATTCTCAGCCCATTCCAGCCACAGCCAGAATGAGGCCCAGTTAACTATTCCCATGGGCAGGCCTTGATTCTAACATGGATACTGGGTCTGCTCTTGCATTGTCCACCTCTGGGGTGACCTAGGATGAGTCATGCTCAGGCCCTACCCACCTGATGGATGGAAGCAGGCAGGAAGCTGCACCTCGGCCAAGTTCATGCAGGGTCGTATGCCCATAACAAAGGCGAAGCACAGGCCCACCAGCCAGCCACCTGGCAGATCTCTGACTCTGGGCCCAGCTCACATTCCAGGCAATTCAGTCTACTTTTTTTTTTTTAAGTTTCCTAAGATGATTCCAAGAACTTTGGCCTCTTGTGAACTCTAGCAACCGTTGTTTATGTCCACAAACCTTTGGTGGCCCCACTTCCTTTGAAAGGTTCTAGGATACCAGATACTCACCCAACCTCTCTACCTTTGCTCAGGCCCCTCTCCATACCTAGAACACCTCCTCCTTCTGCATTTCCCTCATCCCACAGGCCTCCACTCCTCCACAAGCCTGCCCCAGTGCCCAGCACACACTCACCTTGCCCTTCCTTGAGCAGAATACCTGAATCCCTCTGCTTAGCCTAGGAATCGAGGGTCCCTAAGACCAGGTTCTCAGCCCGTCCAGACTCTACTGTCCTAGATGGGAAGGTAGGGCTCTAAGCCTCTTGTCCTGGCCCTCAGCACACAGTTGTACTTTGCCAGTAAGTTGTGTCCTGATTGCTGTGTTGTTTTCCCAGATAGTAAGCAATACAGTACATCTTTACTTAACATCATCAATAGGGTCTTAGAAACCATGACTCAAAGCAAAATGACATATAACTAAACCAATTTTCCCATAGGCTAGTTGATATAACCAAGTTCCTACAGTGTATTTTTGGTCACAAAAATGTCACCAAAGTTCTAAATAAAGACCCCCCTCCCCAACTTTTCTAATATTAAACATTGAAATAAATGTGAGTTCTGCATACATTTAAGAAATATTAATAAAAATAAGTAAGAATTCTTTTCTAATCTGCTTGTTCCAGTTCAGGGTCACAGGTGGCTAGAGCCTATCCCTGCAGCTCAGGGCACAAAGCAGGACCCAGCCCTGGACAAGACGCCCTTCCACCCACACTCACACAGACTGGGACACTGTAGACACGCCAATTCATCTGACGTGCACATCTCTGGGATGTGGGAGGAAACCCGAGTACCTGGAAGAAACCACGCAGACATGGGGAGAGCATGCCAGCTTCACACAGACAGAGGCCACAGCTGAAAGTCAATTTTTTTCTCATCAACCTTATAATGTAATGATGTTATTCAAGGACCTGCTATAGTTAAATATTTATTAAGTTTTGCCTACACATCAAGCAGTACTCTAGGCACTTTATACCTATTAACTGGTTTAGTCCTCATGATAACCCTATTAAGTAGAAACTATACTTCGATCATCCCCATTTTACCAATGAGAAAAATGAGGTACAGAGAAGTTATGTAACTTGCTTAAATCACACAGCCAGTAAGTGGTAGAGCTGGAGGCGTAGCTTCAGAGCCCAACTTCATAATAGCTACACTGTGCTGCCTCTTAAGCGATGATACAGTGAGATATGAGAAAGGAGAATGACGAGGCCTGTATGACACTAGAGTTCTTTGTCACAAAGTACTTCACTCTAGTAGCCTCATACCATTGGCCTTGGACATCCCCTTCCCCTCCTCCTTCTGCCCCACCCTAGCTAATTCCTGCCCATCCCTCCAGTCTCCATTCAGGCAGCGCCTCCTCCAGAAGCCTTCCCTGTTGCCTTCAGTGGGAGAGAGTGACTCTGTCACACAAGCCAACCTGCTTCCCTCCATCAGAGCAGCTGCTGCATGTTCTCCACATCAGTCTCCCTATTGGGCTGTGAGCTCCTCTAGGGAAGGGGCCACACCTGGCCCATAACTGTGGTCCATGTGCTGGGTCAGGGCTTAGAACATGACCAGTGCTCAATAAATGCTGGATCATGCCTGGCTGGTGTTGCTCAGTGGTTGTACATAAACCTATGAACCAGGAGGTCACAGTTCAATTCCTGGTAAGGGCATATGCCTGGGTTGCAGGCTTGATCCCAATGTGGGGCATGCAGGAGGCAGCCAATCAATGATTCTCTCTCATCATTGATGTTTATATCTCTCCCTTCCTCTCTGAAGTCAATAAAAACATATATATTTTAAAAAGATTTAAAAATATATATTTAGAAAAAGAAATCCTTATTATAAAAATATTTAAAAATAAATAAATGCTGGATCAACTGAGATCAGGACCGTGGGTGCTGTCTCCAGTGTTGGACCAGCCAGATATGGGACAGGCCAGACATGTTGACATAGAAGCTGACAAGCCCTCTGGATGGGGCTTGCCTTGGGACTCAAGGGCCCAGTGCCTTCACCTGACTCTCTTTCTCTAGTTTGCAGATGGGGTGTACCTGGTGCTACTCATGGGGCTCCTGGAGGGCTACTTTGTGCCCCTGCACAGCTTCTTCCTGACCCCGGACAGCTTTGAACAGAAGGTAAGGAGAGGCGATGTGGAGGGAGGCCCTAACCCAGATGCTCTGACTCATCCACCAACAGCTATGCTGGGGCCATCTGGGATTCCTGTCTACCCATGGTCTTCAGTGGTTGGATGGGAGGCCCATTCTGATGAGCACTGACCTGGAAAGGAGCTACCTGAAGACCACAGAGCATCTGACCACTTTCTCTCCACCCACCCCCACCATAGCCTGGCCTTGGTCCCCTAGTCATATGCTCCATCCAGGTATCACTGGCCAGTCTCATCTCTCCCAGAAGTGACAAGGCTGGTCATACCTGACCACCTACACTCAGCCTCATTCCGATGACTCATAAGCTGCCACAGCCTGTCTGCTAGACAAGGGGCATTTGATCCAAGGAAGAAACCCTTCTCTGCTTCTTCTGCATATGTCTTGCTCTCCAATTCTTTCAACTGAGAGCACTAATGTGCCTGAGTTGAAAACCCTGGTAGTTAACACAGGAACACAGTAGAACAGAAAGAGGATTTTGAACGTCTCCAGCAGTACTCACCAAGAGTAGGCTGGGATAGGCCAGCCCACACTCCACATGGCCTGCCCATTTTGGTAACCTCACTTCTCCTTCAAATTAGGACATTTTAGCTCAGCCCTTTGTCCCTCTAGCTCCATCACTTCCCAGGGGCAGATCCCAGGATCCACAAGGGCCCAGGAATGAGTGTGCAATAACATAGGCACTGCATTTCTCTTTCCAGGTCTTAAACGTCTCCTTTGCCTTTGAGCTCATGCAAGATGGAGGGTTGGAAAAGCCAAAACCTCGGCCAGAAGGTACTTTGCTCTTTCCCTGGGTTTGTGACAAGATGATGAGAACCTCTTCCTGTACATAAGTGTTGGGGACACACGGCAAGGCTTGTGGTTGAGAACAGAAGGACGAGTTTCTTTTCAGAAGTCTTCTCTACCATTTTTTGGGAAGGTGTGACAGGGCACAGCTGCCCAGTCCTGGAAATCCTTTGTGAGCTGCTAATCACATGGCCATGGGAAGAAAAAATCTGAACTCTCATGCATGGGATCACAGGGATAAGGGCCCAAGCAGACACGGTGCAGAGCAGAGGTGCTGCTGCAGAAACTGCCCTGTGCCCAGTTTCCAGGTTCTTCGGTCCCTGGACAGGGTACTGACCTACCCAATTGCTGTATCGCAGGCCAGGCAGGGGAAGTTTCGGGAGTCATTGCTGGCAGCTCTGCTCTGTGCATAATTGCCTTTCCTGCCCTGTGCCTACTCCAAACTGTCCAAGGATGATTTGTCGAGTTTGGATTGAAAGTGTAAGAGTTTAAAAAAACACACACACAAAAACACAAAATACACAAATAACAAAATGCTCCATTAGCCCTTCTGTGCTGGCGCTTGGAGCTATGTGTGCATTTGTGCATGTAGGAGTTCTTCTTAATACGAATGTTTATTTCCTGAAACTTACTGACTGAAATATTTCATTTTACCAGCACTACCAAGGTTCATCAGTGCTTGGATGGGGGAGGAGGGGGCTATTCAATGCTGTGTTGAAGATAACTTTCTGTTTATGTCAATTTGGAATATTAAGAATGCCATAAGTGGGCCCTTTTGCTTGACTTTCTTGGGTGTTTAAAGGCAAGTGAACAAGTAGGGATTGTGTACTTTCTCAACCCATTGTTGCCTCTGCTCTGAATTCTTCCACCCAAACCTCCACATAGGAGTGGTCCTTCACTGACTGCCCAGTGGGCCTGAGACTCCCATGCCAAGAGAGGTAGGCTATCCTGACCTCAGTGTACTTGAGGCCACTCAGGGGAGAAAAGAGATGTACCCAGTCACCAGAACAAAAGGACAATGGTGATAATTGCCATGAAAGAGATAAAATTAACAAGTTGTGAGAACTGAGGGGGTGGTGCTCACCTTTCTCTGGGGTGGAGGATGGTTTGATAAACATGGTGGTAGTTGGGCTAACCCATAAGGATCAGGTAGGATTTTTGTTTGGAGATTAGATTAGAGGGGTGGCAGGTTCAACCAGAGGCTGACCCTGACCTCCACTGGTTCCCCTCCTAAGGACCCCCAGAACTAACACAATTGGTGAGTGGCTTCAGACCACCCAACCAGCTCGACAAACAACACACCCAATTGGCAGGCTTGGCTGCATCAAAGCCCTAAAGTGACTCTTGCTCTGTGGGTCCGTCCCAGCACAACAGCTCATCTGCAATAGTCACAACCAGCTCTCACCACCAGTCAGCCTGAGGGCCAGTCCTACTGACGGATGTGCCAACAGCAATCATGGCTCACCTACAACAGGAGGGCACATACAGAACACACAAGGAACTCCACTGGAGCAGCTCAGGTAGGCAGACAGTCTGCACTTCTGGGCCCCACAGGACACAAGCAATCTACCAGATGCAGACTTTAAAACAGTGGTTATAAGGATGCTCAATGGTCTTGGGGAAAAAAAAATAGATTAACTCAGTGAGGACTTTAATAAAGAGATAAAAAACATAAAAAATAACCAGTTGGAAATTAAGAATAAAATAACTGAAATAAAATATACATCAGAAGCAATCAACGACAGATTAGATGAAGAAGAGGATTGAATAAGTGATCTATGAGATGAAGCAGCAGAAAACACCCATTGTAGTACCAAAAAGAAAAAGAATTTTTAAAAATTAGGATAGTTTAAGGGACCTGAGGGACAACATCAAGCATACAAGGGACCTGAGGTACAACATCAAGCAAACATTTGGATCACAAGGGTACCAGAAGGGCAAGAGAGAGAACAAAGAACTAAAAAATTCCCTAACCTGGCAAAGGAAATAGACATACAAATCAAAGAAGTGCAGAGAGTCCCAAATAAGATGACCCCAAAGAGGTCCACACCAAGACGCGTCATAATTAAAATGCCAAAGGTTATAGTCAAAGATTGCATCCTAAAAATAGCAAGAGAAAAGCAGTTAATTACATAAAAGGGAACTCCCATAAGACTGTCAGCTGATTTCTCAACAGAAACTTTGCAGGCCGAAAGGAATGGCAAGAAATAGTTACAAAAGGCAAAGACATACAACCAAGAATGCTCTACCCAGTAAGGCTATCATTTAGAATCAAAGGAAAAATAAGAGTTTTTCAGACAGGGAAAAGCTAAAAGAGTTCATCACCACTAAACCAGCATTACAACAAATTTTACAAGAAATGTTAAATGGACTTCTTTAAGAAGAGAAAAAATGATCAAAAATATAAATAAGAAAATACAGGAAAGAAAAAATTCTCACTGATAAAAGCAAACATACTAAATAAAAGTGGTGGATCACCAACTATAAAGCTAGTACAAAAGTTAAAAGGGAAAGTAGGAAGATCATGTGTAATTACAACAATAAATTAAGGAGACACACAAACACACCAACACAAAAGAAGTAAAAGAGAATGCCAAAAACATAAATGAGGAGGGGGTGAGTAAAAATTGTAGTGATTTTAGAATGTGTTCAAACTTAAGTGACTGTTATCTAAAGTTGCTATATAGCTTAGTACAAGGTGGGGCAAAAGTTGTAAGTACTTGAAACAAAGAATTTATTCTTGTATTATTACTTACTAATTATTGTATTATATTCCTTTTGAACAGCTACTTTTGCTACACCCTGTATATAGAACTACATGGTAACCACAAATCAAAAATCTGTGAGTTATACAAGAAATTAGGCATACAGGGAGAGATCAATAATAATATAATATAGTAATTGATAGAGCATCCAGACAAAAAAATCAACAAGGAAAGAGTGGCCTTAAATAACACATCAGATCAGATGGATTTAATTGATTTTTTTTAGAACATTTCTACTCAGAGCAGCAAAATATACATTATTTTCGAGTGTATGTGGTGGGACATTTTTCAGGATAGGTCATATTAGGCCATAAATCAAATTTCAATAAATTTAAGAAGATTGAAATCATAACAAGTATTTTTTCTGATCACACTGGTATTAATCTAAAATCAATTATAAAAAGAAAACTAAAAACCACACAAACACATAGAGGTTAAATAACATGGTACTAAACAATGAATGGGTTACCAATGAAATAAAGGAAGAAATAAAAAGGTACATTGAAACAAATGAAAACCTAACATCCTAAAAATCTGTGGGGCGCAACCAGAGGGAAATTCATAGCAATATAGTCCTATTTCAAGAAACAAGAAAAATCTCAAACAATCTATCCTTTTAGCTAAAGGAACTAGAGAAAAGAAAAATAATGCCCAAAATGAGTTGAAGGAAGGAAATAAAAAAAGGTGAGAGTGGAAATAAATGAAATTAGTCCAATAAAACAATAGAAAATATCAATGAAACCAAGAGCTGGTTCACTGAAAAAATAAAATTGATAAACCTCTAGCAATACTCCAAGAATAAAGGAGAAGGACTGAATAAAATACAATTAGAAATGAAAAAGGAGAAGTGACAACTGACACAACAAAAATACAAAGGAAGATCATATATGATCATCAAGTGGGATTTATTCCCAGGATGCAAGGTTGGTTCAAATTCTGCAAATCAATTAATGTGATACAACCCATAAACAAAATGAAAAATACAAATCATATGACTATATTAACAGAGACAGAAAAAGGACATGACAAAATCCAACATCCATTTATGATTAAAACTTTTAGTAATGTGGGGATAAATGGAACATACCTCAACATAATAAAGGCCATATATGACAGACCCACAGCTAACATTATATTCCATAGTTAAAAGCTGAAAGCTTTCTCTTTAAGATCAGGATGTTCACTTTCTCTACTTTTATTGAACATAGTATTGGAATTCCTAGCCACAGCAATTAGATAAGAAAAAGAAATAGAAGGCATTCAGAATCGAAAGGAAGAAGTAAAACAGTCATTACTTGCATATGACATGATACTATATAGAGAGAACCCTACAGATTAAACATACACACAAAATACTATTTAAACTAAATGAATTCAATAAAGTGACAGAATACAAAATTAATATTCAGAAACCAGTTCAATTTTTATACACCAATAATGAACTATCAGAATGAGAAATTAGTAAAACCATCGCATTTACAATTGCCTTCAAAAGAATAAAGTACCTTAAGTATAAATTTAACCAAGGAGGTAAATGACCTGTACTCTGAAAATTATAAGACATTGATGATAGAAAGTTAAGAATCTATACATATAAAGAGGTAATCTGCTAATTGACTGTTACAGTGTCCCAGTAATCACCAATTTGCATATTGATGTGGGCGCAGCAGGGCAGCCGGAGCCAAGTTCCCAGGGGTCTGAGGAGAGTGCCTGACAGGAGCCCAGACTGCAAAGAAGGAAGAGGAAGTGGCCATGGGGAGCTCTTCCAATCCCCCTGTACAGACGCCCTACCCCAGCCCCCGTACCCCTGGGGGGGACAGCCGGACACCCTACCCCAGCCCCTGCACCCACAGGGAATGGGGAGGCTGACTGGACGGGAAGAAGACCCAGCCTCGGGTAGCTGCAGCCCACACCTCCGACTCCCAATCTCTTACCCCGTCACCCTGCCCTGGGCGCCCACAACAACAGCACGCCAGCGACCACCCATCAGCGCCCCTGAGGCACCTGGGGCCGTGGCCCACCACTGCCCGGGCCCCCTTCGCGGAGGCTGGGCATGCCTCTTCCCTACAACTCCAGACCCGGGTGGAGGCAGGCCTGAGCGGCCCCCCAGGGTCAGACCCTTCCCCCCACAGCAGCAGCACCGTCTCCGCATTGGAAGCACACTGAACCTCGCTGGGGGTGCGGCTAAACCCGCACTCCTAGCCCACCTGGCTCCACCCTGGCCCGGCCCCCACCCCACTCCAGGAGATTGGAGCCCCGCCCTGAGCAGGTACAGCTGCCAAACAGCCATGTACAATTTAAAGAATGGCGCCAAGTGGGAAGGTTTGACAGTTACTCCTCCTTCAGCCTCGCCGCCCCCTAGCGCCCCCCTAATGCCCTGGCCCCTGCCAGCGCCTCCAGGGATGACCACCGCTACAGGGTTTGCTGGCCAGAGCCCGCCTCTCCAAGGCCTGTGGAACCCTCTGCAAAGCTTCCATAGCTACAGTCCTAGGAAATAATCATGCCCTCCTCCCCTAATCAGCACCTGCCACCTGTGAGGGTACCCATGGGCTTAAAAACTTACTTGATGAAACATTTCTAGGTTTATTAGCTCAGAACCTCCTCATGACAACCCAGTGAGGTGGGCGGAGAAGAGATTACAACTCCCATGGTATATGCGTATGTATTCAGAAATGAAGCTCAGAGAGGAAAAGTGTCAAGCCCAGTGGTTGCCACGGTGCAGCACACACACGGGGGCGGGGGGGGGGGGGCAATTTGATTTTAAGTGGGGGTAATTCCAGAATGAGTTTACAGTGAATTTTTGCATTTCTTATGGTTCTAGGGGGCCTCATCTACAGCATATCCTATGCCATTTTTCACAGAACTAGAACAAATACTCCTAATATGTATATGAAACCACAAAAGACCCCCGAACAGTTAAAGCAATATTGAGAAAGAAGAACCAAGTTGGAAATGCTACCTGATTTCAAACTATACTACAAGGCTATAGTAATCCAAATAGAATGCTACTGGCATAAAAAACACATAGATCAATGGAATAGAATAGAGATCCCAGAAATAACCCCACATCTATATGGTCAATTAATCTACGGCAGTGGAGGCAAGAATATACAGTTTTTTTCAATAACTGGTCCTGGGAAAACAGGATAGATACATGCAACAAAATGAAACTAGACCTCTTTTTTTACACGATACAAGAATAAACTCAAAATGGATTAAAGACGTAAATGTAAGACCTGAAACCATAAAACTCCTGGAGGAAAACATGGGCGGCGCTCTCTTAGCAATTTTTTTGATATGTCTCCTCAGGCAAGGGAAGCAAGAGAAAAAAATAAACAGCTAGGACTACATCACACTACATAGTTTTTTTCACAGTGAGGGAGACCAGCGACAACATGAAAAGACTGTGTCCCTCTAGAGCAGGGGCTGGAAACATCGGCCTACGGGCCGTATAAGGCCCGAGAAATCATGTGGTCTGACCCTTCTAAGGCATTAGGGGTGAGTTAATTAAATGTTTGACCAAACATAGCAGGCCCATTTTTTAGTTGACAAATTTGTATGCCCTTGAATGTTATAAATATCCAAATGGCAGATATCCAAATATCCAAATATCCTTGGCAGATAAAAGTTTCCCCACCTCTGTTGTAAAGTGTCTCTTCCTGGCAAGGCCACTCCAGTATCCTAATGGCATTAGGAATGGTCCCTGAGTAGACTGTACCCAGTTGGTGAGCACCCTATCTCTGGGTAGGAGAGAGATAGTAGGAGAGCTGTGGTCAGCATGTCTGCTTCTGTTTTCTCGAGCTTCTTCATATGAAACTTCCTAGTGACAGATTAGAAGTGCTCATTCTGATACTTCAGTGTTCAGGCATTGATTTCCCTCCAGACAGACAAGTTTCCCCAACGTCAATTAACCTATAGGGATATTTCAGCACAATGACAAGTCTCGTACAATTACTGAGCTGCTTAATATGAAACTTCCTGCCCAATGGGAATGGAGGAACACATCTGTTTTATTTGTTGTTACACTGGGCATCGCGCCCATGCTGAGAATTTCCAGTGCGGAAAGGAGAGCTGAACCAGTGTTTGGTGAAATTGTACCTGGTGAGAGATGTACCCAGCACTCCCTATGCATTCGTGCTCCTCCCTAGTCAGGGAGATTCAGCAGTGAATGCTACAGACTTTACAAAACGTGCCAATGTGGATAATTCTTTTAGGGTGTTTCAGAATCAAATAGGGCCCTAGCCAGTTTGGCTCAGTGGATAGAGCATCAGCCTGCAGACCAAGAGGTCCCAGGTTCGATTCTGGTCAAGGGCACGTGCCTCGGTTGCAAGCTCCTCTCCCACCCCCCGGCCCTGGTTGGGGTACATGCAGGAGGCAACCAATCACTGTGTCTCTCTCACATTGGTATTTCTCTGTCTTTCCCTTTCTCTTCCACTCTCTCCCAAAATCAGTGGGAAAATATCCTCAGGTGAGGATTAAAAATAAAAAATAAAAATCAATGGAAAAATATCTTCCAGTAGGATTAATTTTTTAAAAAAAATCAAATAGGCGGCGGTGGAGGCATTTTTCATGGCAGAGTGGTTTCAAGGTCAGGAAAACACATCCTCTGCCAGGCTGTTTGACACTCAGCCCTGCCGTACCCTGAAGTCCCCTGGAAACTTGGGGTTTGCATCTCAGAGGACTTTTGCTGCCCAAGCTGCACAACCGTTTCATTCTCTGGAAACACAAGCCTCCCCGGAGGCTGAACAGTCCAGGTAGAGTGGGTAGAAAGGATTGGAGAGGGCAAGAGGCTTTGAGGAGCCTGTTCCATGGCTCCAGTACCACCCAACCTTCCCCTTCGCGCCCACTCCCTTGGTAAGCTCACTTTTTCTCCTCTCTGCCTTTCTAGCAGTTTCTACCTGGGGTAACTTCCTGTTCTTTGACTTGAGTGGAATTTAAGAAACACAACACCAAGGCATCAGGGAAGGACAAGAATCAGCCCCAGGCCCTAACTGGTTTGACTCAGTAGATAGAGCGTCGCCTGCGGACTGAACCCAGGTTCGATTCTGGTCAAGGGCATGTGCCTTGGTTGCGGGCACATCCCCGGTGGGAGGTGCACAGGAGGCAGCTGATTGATGTTTCTCTCTCATCAATGTTTCTAACTCTCTGTCCCTCTCCCTCCCTCTCTGTAAAAAATCAATAAAATATATATTTAAAAAAAAAAAAAGAATCAGCCCCAGGGCATAGGACTGACTGGGCATGAACGCTGCTGAGCCACTGGGCAGGGCCCCAGGTTGAGGCTCAGATATATGCATGAACCAGGTGGGAGCAGACAGGGAGGCTGAGTGTCAGGCCTGAGAGTTCCTGGTCTATCAACAGGAGAACTTGGAGCCAATTCCAAGCCCAGCTGGGGTGGGAGAGGGTCCGTCTGCAACTGGGATAAGGCCCAGTAGAGGCATACAGGAGGGTATCTAGGGGTAGAGAGGAGCCCTAAGGAGGTTCCCCAGATCCTTGGTATGTCACCCTGTGGCTGCTCATCATTGCAGGCCCTGGGGCCTGGGTGCACCTGGCTGTGGCGACCACATGGGCAAGGGTTCCTAAGGCTAAGACCCGGGAACCATTGTCCAGCCATACAGAGCCACTGGTCTCCGTTCTGCCTGGTCTTGGAAGACCCCTCACCCTAGACGAGGGCGTTGCTAGAGTGCTGCCATCTCCCCCACCTTCGAATCCCAAAGCATTTATTGTTTTCTCTGATATCATTTACCTCATCTGACCTTCTGCACAGTCAGATGTCTTTTTAATCATTTTTATTGTGAAAATATCACAGCTACAGAAAGGTGCATAAGATATAAATGTTCAGGTTAGTGAGATATTACCCAGAGCGCCACCATGCAACCATCCCCAGCTCAGGGAGAGGAGCCCTCCCAGCTCCGAGAGTTCCCGCCAAGTTGCCCTTTTGGAACTTAATCCTCTTCTTCCTCCCTGAAGATAGCCACTCTGCTGATTTTTACAGGCTCTTGTCTTTTTATTTTATTTTATTTGCATTTTCTTACAATTTTATTGCCTTAGGACGCATTCCTGAACAGTAGGCAGTTCCTTTCTTCACGTATGTTTTCCTACTCCAGTTATTGGGAGGAAGGCCCTCCCAGGGAGAGAGTGCAGGGGCCTTGGTGGGGAAGGAGGGGGCAGAAGGGCCCGAAGAGGGTTAGAGGGACAGCCAGGGGAGGAAGTGACCACTAAATAAAAGGGAGGGAGGGAACGGAGGAAATAGTTGTATAAAAGCTTGGGAACTCCCAGAGGAACTCTCCTGAAAATACAGTCCTACTCCCAGCCTCAAACCCAGCTGCCTGGCTCTCTCCTTAATCTGAAACTGTCTGTCCCCTGAGACATACGCTTACTGAGTACTCGCTGCCCGGGCTTCTGTGTCCTCCAGGGCCCTCCCTTCCTGAGGGAGAGGCAGCTTAGTCCTAACTCCCCACCTCTCCCCACTGTAGCCTCAGACTCTCCCCTCCTTCCTACCACTCATGGCTGGTTCTGCGGCAAGGGCCCTCCCCCCGCAGGGACAGGTGCTATTTAGGGGAAAGTCAGGGTCAGAGAAGCACCCCTCCTACCTGGAGATGCTGAGTCCAGGGTGAAGGCTACATGCGCTGGGGTCTGCTTCATTTTACGGAGAGGCCATGCCCAGGCTCAGCTCCGCTGCCCCGCATGCTCCCCTGCTCTGAATGCTCGCCGAACACTCCAAAACCCATCCTCTGGTGGTCTCCTGGGGGTTGCTCCTGTCTCCCAGCGGGACAGGGAGCTCTTCTGGAGCACAGCATGACGTCCTGTGGCTGCGGGGGCATCCACGCAGGACCGTGTGGGCAAATGCGGGTGGGTGGTAGATGGGAGAGGTTAACAGATGCCAACTTTGGGTCACGTGCCAGCCCCCCTCCCCCCCCAAAGCGTTACATATTTTTTGTTCTCTACGCAGACATCGTCAACTGTGACCTGAAATCCACGCTGCGAGTGTTGTACAACCTCTTCACCAAGTACCGGAACATGGACTGAGGGGCAGACCGCACCATCCTCCGAGCCACCTTAACCTGCTTATTCCTGCCTCCCCTCTGTGCCATCCCACAAAGTCCAGCCACAACCCAGAAATCACGGGACCTGAATTAGGAAGGAAACGATCAGAAACTCCGGGCTGACCCACACCTCCCAGGCCCTAGGTCGGAGCCAGCTGTGGCCTCAGAAGATTGTCCCCATCCTGGTGCTGGATCCAGATTTCCCTCTGTCACTTGGGAACCAGCTTAGGTCCAGGAGACACACACACACACACACACACCCAGAAGATGAAAATAGAGATAATAGTTACCACTTAATGGGTGTAAACTATGTGCCAGACATCACACGAAGTGCTCTGATGTACTCAAACTCATTAGTTCTCGTGACTTCCGCTGAAGCCGGTGTTATACACCCCTTTCCCAGATGAGGAAAAGGCTCAGAGAGGTAAAGAGACGTGCCAGAACTTGGCATTTGTTTTTCCTCTTTGAACAACATACGTATTTGTTAATAACTAGCCAATTACATCAACGTTCTTTGCCTGTCCTATAGTTGTATGTGTGCACGCACACCCACAAAGAAGACAGGCGCCCACTGACCTCGCCACCAAGCAGGCCAGGAGGGCTTAGTGATTCACACTCAAATTGGCAAATTTAATCCAATTAATAGTGTATGTGTGGCAGGAATCATGTCCCTCAGCTCCTTTGTACAAATGAAAATTGCTCTTAATTCCTTCAGATTTGTAATAACCCCATGCTCTGGTTTCAGGGTGACATTTGGGAAGGATTCTGTTTAAAATTAATGGAGTGGCACATTTCACAACCTTTTTGCTTGATTGCATGTAATGGAAGTGCCCCATATTTTACTGCAAAATAAGTACTCAATTCATTATCATCAGGCAAATGTATAATATACGCCAGCACCACCGAGAGCTGGGCATAGACCCACGTGAGCATGGCTTGGGAAGTAGGGCTCTTCACCGGGAACCCTTGAACTTTAAAGAAAGGAACTCCTCTTTGCCTTCTAATTGATCATTTAGACCATTCCTGGCTAAGTCTGCCCACATGCAATTACCGGCTAATTCAGGCGAGGAAAAATGTAAGCCATTCAGACCCAAGCCGAGCCGTTTCCTTGCGTGGGCTACTGGCGGGCTTATGGGGACTTGCATCCCCGCTCTGTGAACCCAGCTTGGAAACACAAGGCTCTAGTTGTCCCAGGCTGCCGGGGCCCTTGCGAATAGGAAAGAGGCTAAAGCTGGGGTGACTAGGAGGACAGAAGCATGCTGGGTGGGGGGCGGGGGAGGGAAGGGGGGATATTTGAACACTCAACAATAAGGAAATACCCTCAGACCAGGAACAGGGCTTGTGGCGTTTACAGTCTTCGTAAACTGGCCAAGGCCTTGGGATAATTAGTAACTCTTACTGGTCTACTTCATTATAGAATCTTCCCAAATATGCCAGATGGGCCCAGCCTGTGTGCCCGCCTCCAGAAGTCTGTGCCCATTGCACAAAGCCCTCTTCTAGTCTGAGGAATTCATTTTGATCCCCATCTACGCCACCCAGAGTTGGGCCTCCCATATTGTCCAAAGCGTTTCCTTCCAGCTCCTAAACATTTCCTCCTCTGCGGTCCATCTGCAGTGGCTCAGAACCCATACAATTTACAGATAATACATATTCCTTTGGATATTGTGCTCTAAGAAAGCATTGTTAATCAGCATAATGAGCACTTAAGGTGCAAAGACAATGTACTCTTGTGTCAATTGATGTGGAAGGATACAATTATTTTTTACATAAGCAGTGAAATGTTATGTTTTTCATTAGGAAATACTAAATAGTGTAATATTTGTTTGTTCTCTTTTAAATTCCTGATAGCAAATCAATGTAAGTCATTGCTTTGTCTCCTTGAGCAGTACTAAAGCGGGTGAAATAAGAGCAGTGAATACATTTAAACCTGCTTTGCTATCCGAATTTTCTCCCTTGGTTTGTCTTTTATCTTCCTATATTCAAGCTGCAAATGCACGCTGTAAGGAGTGTCCTTATTAAGAGCACTCCTTTTTGTGTTTTACACACACACAGCATGAACACACCTCGGAACACCTGGGAAGTTTCATCACAGGTCTAATTTATCCGCATATTGTTTCAAGACTGAGGCCTTAGACTCAGTCCAGAATCCCAGGGCCTGGGCCTACTTTTCTCACCCTGTCATCTCCTTTAGAGGTTTTCCTCTAAATTCTCCTGCTCAATACACGGCCATGGTTTTGAAGGGGGAAAAGGCTCCAGAACAATAAATAAACCAAACTTAACCTTTGTCTCTAAAAAAAATAATAATAACCTGAGACAAAAAAATATAGTCTCTATAGGCTCACTCTTTTTCTTTTCTAAATTTAAGTTCATGGGTTGTTTAATAGTTAGTATATAAATGGTACAAAATTCAAGAAGCATGAATGAATATTCCTGCCCCCAACAGCCAATCCTCCTCCCTAGAGGTTACTATTTTGATCCATTTCTTATATTCCCTTCCAGAGATAATCCAGCCATAAAAGCATCAACATACATATAAGATTATTGGGGATTTTAAAAAATATAAATAGCATATTATATATTTTGTCAGGCTCCTTGCTTTTTCCACTTAATGTGATATGTTGGAGATTATTTTATACTGAGTATGAAAACCTTTTACATTTTAAAGATGAGACTCTGAGCACTCTGTAAACCCAAAGGCCCATCTCTGGCCCGCTTGGGTGAGGAAATGAAAGCCTTACCCAAAGGTGGTGATGCTACGTAGGTAGTGACTTCAAAAGTCGGAGACTGGGACCTACTGGGTGGGGAATAGGTCTCACAGGACATGTTACCGGAGACATTTCCATGTGCCCTGAACGGATTTTTTTGTCAGTCTTCCTTTGGATTATTATGGTGAGTGGTATGCAGTTTGATTACGCTTTCATTTGTACATCATTACGAGGGCTGCTAATGTGAAATCGACTAAGTACCCTAGCGCGTTCTGCTGCAAGCCCAGCAGCCACATGCTGCTCCTCTGTCAGTCAGGAGGCTCCGGTTTCACATGTGCAGGCACAGAGCTGACATTTGCAAAATCTGAGAGAAGGGCTCTTTAACAGCACATCATCAGCGTTGCCCGAGTTGGTTGCAATTTGCAATTGCTACTCTCGGTACTTTTTAATTATGAAATACTGTTAGCTTAGCTATATCATTACCAATTTATTTTGTTGTGGGTTGCCTGGTTAACCCTACAAAGTGTACTGAAGCCTATTTGCATCAACAGTGTCCTGGGGCTATAATTTTCCAATAACTAGGCTCTCAGACATGTATACATTGTGGTTCAAATATGAATTATCCATACTCCAGTGCTAGAGCAAAGGCATACATAATCCTCTCCTCCCAAATTATCACCAATTTATTTTTCCACTGGAAAATGAAACTAGACAAAGTTGGTAGGTCAGGCAGTTTGGTCCTAAGTAGAGGCTGACCAAGAGGAATTTGAGACCCACTGCCTTTAACACAGTCCCACCTCAGGAACCCTACCTACATAAAATATCCTAGATATGCAAAAGGGATATGTCCTAAAATCTTCGCTAATGTTAATATTACATACAGTGTCCCCCCGTGAAATTCACTTAGGTCTATTGGAAGATTCATTAAGAGTTTCTGTGGATACAGAAAACAAGAGAACTGCAGTGAGAGGCAAGTGCTGGGTAGGAGATGGACTCACTCACCAGCTAAGGGACCTGCATCGACACACCGGCTTCCCAACATTTTTGCAGGTTCAGGTCTCAGCAAAAGACAAGTTAGCGTGGATGAATGGGTCATTGTCATAATTACAAAGACTATATCTGCCAGACTGTTCCTATGTTTTCCCCTCTCTTTTATACCCCAGTTAGCTCCAATATTTTTCAGAATTTGCTCACACTCCTGCTTTCCTATGGTGCTGACTGCATATGTGCCTATGTGTTCACGACCGCAAGGCACCGTGAGGGTGCTCGATGCAGGATGAGCAGCCCCCACACCATGCCTGACAACCTTCCTCCCTTCCCAGGGAGGAAGCCACCACTGGTGAAGCATCTTAAAGTGCATTCTGTGGGTTGTTAATAAATGTTTAGTGTAAAAAATGTCATAATTCAAATAAGTTTGGGAGACAGGGTAAAGAAATCTAAATTCACTTTCTACAGTGTTGGTTTTCATTTTTACTTTTTGTTTTCTAATCAGAGCCCATCTCAGAGTTCCCTACACTATTGTGCATTGTAACTCTCTAAGGCAGTGGTTCTCAACCTTCTGGCCCTTTAAATACAGTTCCTCATGTTGTGACCCAACCATAAAATTATTTTCGTTGCTACTTCATAACTGTAATGTTGTTACTGTTATGAATCATCATGTAAATATCTGATATGCAGGATGGTCTTAGGCGACCCCTGTGAAAGAGTCGTTAGACCGCCAAAGGGGTCGTGACCCACAGGTTGAGAACCGCTGCTCTAAGGGGAGGCAGAATAGGGCACGTCCCTATTGTGTTGACCATGGGTCCTATTTGCCTCCTGAGAAATTGGCAGGATGGTATCTTGGAACTCATCCATTCATTTAGCCATATAGTCAACAAGCATGTGCTGAGGGTCTACAACGTGTTAGGTGGGCTGTGTCCAGTGGCAAGTGAGGCGAAGGCACACTCATATAGCTCAATCTAATGGGAAAGACGCACGAAAAATAATCACAAATCAATGGCACAGAAATGTCTTAGTTAACTCTTCAATAGGTTCTTGGAAACTGCAACTTTGAGTGAAACAACAAAATGAAACCAGTTTTACCATTGATTAACTGATATATACAAGAATTAAGTTCCTACAACATATTTCTGGTCACAAAAAAATCACTAAACTTCTAAGTAAAGACCCCAAACACTTCAAGTATTAAACATGAAAATGAATCTAAGAAAAGAAACCGAAATCCTTAGAGAAAACCCACTCAGACCAGGAAGGACATGCCAACTTCACACAGAGAGTGGCCCCGGCCAGGAATCAATTTTTTCCCCTTATCAACATTAGAATGAAACAAAGTTAAATAAAACAATGTTATTCAAGAACCTGCTCTACTTATACCTTGTGATGACCAGTGTGGATAAGTACAAAATCTATGAAAGAGATCTGATTTAGATTTTGAAGTCAAGAGAGGTCTCTGAAAGAGAGAGAGCGAGAGGTCTCTGGTAAAGTCGCATTTTAAAGTGACACCTGAATCGTTGAGCTACTCAGGTGAAGAGTTTGCCTTTTAAGGGAGCAGTACAGATGAGGATCCCAATTTAGGAGAAGATTGGGTCCCTGGCAGAAAGCCAGGATGGCTAGAATACAAAGGGCGAGAGGGATGGAGAGGTATCAGAGGATTGCAGATTTTATCACAAGAAAAATGGGAAGCAATATATGTTAAAATGCTTTCTGAACCATGTGTACTCATATGTGGGATATAAAATTGAAAGCCACAAATGAACAAACGAGATAAACAAACAAAGCTCATAGGCACACACAACAGTATGGTGGTTACCAGAGAGAAGGGGGTCAAATATATGGCAACAGAAGATTTGACTTTAGGTGGTGGGCACACAAAGCAATATACAGATGATGTATCCTAGAATTGTACACTTGAGACCTATACAATTTCATTAACCAATGTCACCTCAATAACATTTAATTTTTAAAAATACTAAAAAAAAAAAAAAAAAAAAAAAAAAAAGCCTCGGCCACTGTGCTGGAAAACTTTGGAAAAAGCTATGTCGGCACTACTGAGTTCTGAGACTCCCCATCCTATGCCTCTGCCCATCCCAAGTTGGACTCAAACATAGGCTGGAAGGCTGGGTTTGCTTTAAAAGGCAGTGCCTGCTGGGCAGTCCTAACCCTCCACTTCCCTGGGGCTGTGGGAGGGCAGGAGCTCCTACACCACTTCCAGCCTCTCCACAATGTGGTCCTCTGGGAAGAGCTAAGGGAACCTCAAGCGAAGGAAAAGAGAAGACTGGCAGCCAGAATGCTGATCCCTGGGGACCATTCCTTCCAACCTTCTCACCACGAAGGACCTCTGATGTTTTATCCCTCTGTGGGTTTTATGGGCGGGGGGCTGGGGGGGGCGGGGTTGGAGGACAGGAATGCTATCATCGAACCTGGGGAGAGGGCAAGGTATAGGCTTCCTGGAGGTAGAATAATAATTTCATTCTCCCATAATCAGACTGAATTATTGTCATCATGCCTGCCGCATTATAAAGCCCACCACAAGTGGATCACTTATGCTTCACAGAGTCTTGAGAAACAGCTTTC